CTTTCTTTCTTTCTTTCTTCTTTCTTTCTTTCTTTCTTTCTTTCTTCTTTCTTTCTTTCTTTCTTTCTTTCTTTCTTTCTTTCTTTCTTTCTTCCTTCCTTCCTTCCTTCCTTCCTTCCTTCCTTCCTTCCTTCCTTCCTTCCTTCTTTCTTTTTTCTTTCTTTCTTTCTTTCTTTCTTTCTTTCTTTCTTTCTTTCTTTCTTTCTTCCTTCCTTCCTTCCTTCCTTCCTTCCTTCCTTCCTTCCTTCCTTCTTTCTTTTTTCTTTCTTTCTTTCTTTCTTTCTTTCTTTCTTTCTTTCTTTCTTTCTTTCTTTCTTTCTTTCTTTCTTTCTTTCTTTCTTTCTTTCGCTTTGGAGAACAGCTTGACCCATTCCTCCTCTCTGTGGCAACCGCTCCCTCAAATACTGGAAGGCTGCCATCCTGTCTCCCCTGGTCCTTCTCTTCCCTAGACAACCAGGCCCAGTTCCTGTAACCATTCATCGTATTTTTCAGCCTCCAGTCCCTCAATCCTCCTGGTTGCTCTTCTCTGCACTTTTTCTAGAGTCTCAGCATCTTTTTTATAGTGTGGTGAACAAAACTGGATGCAGGACTCTAGGTGTGGCCTTACTAAGGCTTTATAGAGGGGTATTAGTGCCTCCCTTGATCTCGATTGTGTCCCTCTGTTAATGCAGCCTAGAACTGTGTTGGCTTTTTTGGCTGCTGCTGCACAACATTGGCTCCTATTTAGCTGGTTGTCCACTAAGGCATGAGGCAGGGGGACGCTCTCCCTCACAACTGGTGGAACCTCCATCCTTGGTGGGCAGGGATGCCCCCCTGTGCCCGCTGCCTTCCCGACCCACCTGTCTCTTTTCTCTGCCTGCCCTACCAGTCCAAGGAGCTTCAGATCAAGAAACAGTTCCAGGACACCTGCAAGATCCAGACCCGGCAGTACAAGGCCCTGCGGAACCACCTGCTGGAGACCACGCCCAAGAGCGAGCACAAGGCCGTGCTGAAGCGGCTGAAGGAGGAGCAGACCCGCAAGTTGGCCATCCTGGCCGAGCAGTACGACCACAGCATCAACGAGATGCTCTCCACGCAAGCGGTGAGGATTCTGGACTGGGGGGGCAGTTCTAGCGGGGTCTCTGGGGCAGCCTTTCTCAACCTTGGCCCCTTTAAGAATTTCCCAGCCAGCAATTGGGGAGTTCTGGCAGTGGAAGCCCACCCCTCTTAAAGCAGGCTGGCTGGGGGATTCTGGGAGTGGAAGCCCACCCCTCTTAAAGCAGGCTGGCTGG